GTGGGGGGGGGGTGGAGGGAAATTGTAATGCCAACAGATGAACAGAAAATGGCAACACGTACAGAAGGATAAGAATGAATCCATGCATTTTATTCTCAAACTTGCTTGAGGAATGTGATCGCTAAATTAAACCATCAAAAGAGTCGCAGGCTGGGCCCAGTGTTTGAGGATAACATTTCAGGCTAGTGGCAAAATCTACATTCCAGCAGGGTCCAGCCTCCAAAGCAATTGCTTAGGTTATGCTGATCCTAATCGCTGCTATGAAAGCTTGACTGATGCTACCAAAGAATAAAATATTAATGGTGCAACAATCATTTAGAAGAGAAAAAAAATAAAATTAGGGTTTTCTATAGCACAGCTGGGGGGGAAAAAAAGCCATGACTGCTGGAAGGCGGGGTTTTACCGGGGGCTGATCTGTCTTTCTTGTTTTGCTAGTGTCTAGACCTTCTGTAGGCGGCAATATTACCCACTTGTCAGAATATTCTACAATCCTGTGTACCTCAATGGACGATAAAGTTATGGGACTTCGCAGAAGCAGCCACTTACCCTGAAATTTTCCACTCTCTCTAACAGAGAACACTAAAATAACACTCCGCGATGACCTGAAAGCTGTGTTGAGCTTTTTTTCGTTTACCGGTAAAGTTGACCAAACACCCTGTGTGAAAAGATAATGTGAAAAGATAAATGTGAAAATATATAAAAACTGTATTAAAATACATTATAATAACAAAAAAAGTTTTCTAGAAATACTAAAGTAAGCCTGTTACAAACCTTCATAATTCTAGCTGCACATACAGAAAACCTGCAGCTCAAAACAACCAGTAAATCCAAAGCTAGAGGAAGGTGAAGTTCTAAAATTTCTTAATTTTTCTTGTAAAATCTCAAAACTGTTAACTGCTTCCTTCCAGAGCTTAATGTTTGTCTTAGGAATGAGCCTTCCAATGTAGCCGCCTAAAAACTTTCCTGCTGGGCCACATTCAGTAGTGCTGTCTGTACACAACCCTGCGGTTTAGCAGACTCATTTTTGAAGAAACAGGAGGCTTTTTAATACATATTTCAAAATGTTCTATGCTATAAAAATATCCCAGCTACCTACTTAGTCACTGCGTTGCGCAGTGGAATGGAAGGAAAAGAAAGCAGGTTAGTATTTGCATGCAACAAAGCCCCTGCATTCAGAAGCTCACAGGTACACAATCTCTATTTAGATAGGTAGGTAGAGGCACATGGTCTGCTGCTTTATTTTTTTAAGATTTAACTTCTGAGTTTAGTGTCAATTTAAAACACAAAAAAAGTATAGTATTCTGCTAAAGAAATCGGAATTTATCTTACCTTTGCTTTAGCCAATGATACATTTTCATGATTGTTGCTCTTTATGAGGAAAAAACGTGCATCCTGCAGAATGTACCGGATTTTGTTTATTCGTTCTGAAAAAAAAAAAAGCAAGTGTGACAAATCTTTTGGCTGGTCCTCCTATTCAAATAATAAAAAGAAAAATACTCTGATGTGGATAACAAAAGTAGAATTCTACATGTAGAAATGCAATTCTCTTTATTCTGACAACCACCTTACAGCTACCCTATTTTGTGAGCGGCAAACAAAATCTAAAAACTACTTCACAAAAACTGGAAAACTCCACAAAAAAAAAAAAAGGACTAAAAAAGGGGATGGAGAGTGGATAGGGCTCATTGACTACATGCACACAGCTCACTATGAAGACACCCAAATAACTCTACTCACATTCTAATGCACAGTTTAATCAACATTCAACAAAGCTTTTCTTCTCAAAATATCCTGGAGCAAAGAGAGATCCCCATTTTCAGTTGTTCACCATTCAGATATGTATACTAAAAATATTATTCCCATCTTACAGGGCACTTTACCTAAAGACTATGTCGAATAGATAGGTTAAAAAAAATGTTGCCATCCACTACTAAAAAAGTTCCAGATTTAGTACATTTAGCCGAGATGTCACAAATGCTGCAGTTCACATGACAAGGAAATATCAAAACCACAAAAGAGAGTCTGCAGCACAGGACATTTGACAGAGCAGGCCAAATAGATAAACTACACTTTACTCAAGATTTATATGTTGTCATCCCATTAAAATCACAGAAACCCACAAGATTTGTTCTCATTCTAACAACTACAGGATAGGTAAAAAAGTAACAGGCATTTCTATTATTCTCAATTGTTGTCAGACACAAAAGATGGGAAAAAGAAAACGAGCCTGTGCATATGATAAGTCCAAAACTTTTTTTTGGATCCATAGAACCATGAGGGCTGTATTCAACTGTACAATGCACGCCAGTAGTCAAATTAGCTAGCTTGTTGGATAGAATAAGGTTAGAACTTTCTTTTCTGCTTGTCTGTGTCCTGTTGGGGAGATTTCCCCTCACTTCCTGTTATGAAGCTACAGTAAGAAGCAAGAGGCAATTCCGCCAAAGTAAGGGATAAAACCCACCAAAAAATGTGTAATTTTTTTTTTAGGAAAAAAAAGATGGCACGGCATCGCACTAGTCCACTCTCCTTAGCCCTTCACCTAGACGCTTGATATCAACATGGCGGATTCCACTCCACAGGCTGAAATAGTCAGCATTGCCTGCATGCATACATAATTATATTATGCCTCAGAGTACGGTCCCATTTAAGTGCATGAGGGCTAAGCCAGTGCTAAAGATTCCATCACCTCTGGAATATATATTATCACAGAGGATGTCACTGTGGCTGTCATGCTGAGGGTGGGTGGGGGTCTTCTAACTTAGTGGGTTATGGATAAGTGCACTTATGCTTTAGGAGAGGTTCACACCATTTTCCAGACCAGATCTGGAACACAGTGCATTGTGTTTTTTCTTTTTTTTTTTTTAGCTTAAAATGGTCTTACAAGTGCGTTCCAGTGCATTCCTGATGCGTTTTTATGCGTTCCAGACCAGCAGCATTTTTCTGGTCTAGAACGGACTGCGCTGGTGTGAACAGAGGCCAGAAATATCATAGGGACAAATTAGGATGCATTTTGGGTCCGGAAACAATCTGGCCTGGTGATGATCAGGACATGGTGTGAATGGGCCCTTAATCATACTGTATAAAAACAGACAAACTTTGGAGGGGAGAAAAAGAAATAGGAAAAGGGAAAAATTTAAAGGATACCTTTTCGAACATCACGCACAGAAGAGGGTAATTTTTCATGCTTCTTTTCTGAACCTGCATTTAAGTACATGTATTCAGATTGTGCCTTCAGACAAAAAATACATTTTCAATACAACTACTTATACCAGATAGAAATCACATTAACAAGATTAGGCTTCTTCGGAATCAGTACATTCACAGGCTGAGCAACATGATGCAGAAAATTAGCCATTTTCAGCACCAGTGTGTCAATGTTTAACATGATAAAGGATTTATTCCTAATTAATATGCCATGTCATTACTGTAATGGGTTTTGTCTCTAAACACTGCTAGGTGACAGACGCTTAAGGATGCATTGATGAAACATTATTAGCCAAAAGCATACAATAAACAAGCCTTCTCAACCAGATTGTCAAGTGTCAAACTTTTGAAATGCATTTTAACTTGACAGTAGAACAAATGGTAGTGAAGTCAGAATATTCCACTCGCCTCCCGCCTTCATGTTAAAACTGCAGTTGAATATGCCAGTGATGAGCTTTGCAAGCTCGCCTTAATATTAAATTCCCTTGTGTGGAAGAAATCAGAACAAGTATCTAAGAAAGGAAATAATACCTGCATAAGAGTCTGATGCAGAACTTCCACTTCTATCAAACACAATTGGAGAAATACCTCTAGCCCTTTTCCTTTCCTCCTTTTTCTCATCTAGAAAATATGTGAAAAAATAATGTAAGAAGGCAGGGGGTCTCTAAGTGCTCCAAAAGACAAACTCTAATCTGGCTGCTTTTCTAACCATCCATCAAAAGTCGACAGAAAAAGGGTTCATAAACCAGGATCTAGATTCCACGGATCTAGCAACTACACTGCTGAAAAGCAGGTCACAGTGCTTACACCATAAACCATTCAACTAACGCAAACAAAACAGCATTGTATAGAGACTTCAAACATGTAAATGTACAAAATGAACTGACATTTCAGTTATGACCGTCTCTAGTTATCAGCTGGGATGTGCAATAGGAAAAAATGCACATGTAAACATATTAACAAAATATTAAAATCAATTTCTAGAACAAAGCATTCCTTTTTTTTCCTGATAGAAAAAAAAAAAATCTAAGTCGTCTAAGTAGCCAGAGACCCCAAAACCTTACCAAGCAGCTGGTAAAGTTTTTCACCAAATCCCACATACATGTAACCATCACTGCGCTGAAGTATCAGAAGCAGCGGCACAATATGAAAGACGGTTTAAAGATCTAAGTGAGCCCATTTCCATCTGATTTAGCCCTGTATATTTATCTAAGTTAATGTATTTGTAACACAAGAGTTGCATAACTTGTAAGGTGATACAACCTAAGACGGATTTGTGACATACAAGAACTGAACGTACCACAACAGAATACTAGCCGTCACCTGAAATCACCTTTTATGTGCAGAAAGAAAGGATGTACTGATGTATGACTGGCACAGAAAGGTTTTCCATCATAATGTTCTACCACAGAACACTAAGAGTGGACGGAGCAGGCCCTTGCCTCTTAAGAATAATACACATTGCTGTGTTCGAAACCCTAAAATCTAACCCAACCAAATCATATTGACTAATGTTGTAATTAAGGTGAAGCTTTAAAGGCCAATTCTACCTTTACTACCATGTTCCACCTATATTTAGGGCGTAACATGGTGCCATTCTGCAGCTGCCCACCTGTCTATCCACTTACCCGAATTGCAGGGGGCTTCTTTTGCAGCATTTGTGATGGGAAACAAAAATTCCGGTCTGACACTGCAGCAGAAGGACTTACAATTCTCAATGCAGTACAAATGCAGTGAAGTTGCCAAACTTGAGCTCATTAAAAACGTCAACTGATGAGTTGTATTGCTTTGTGGGCACCAAAGCAAAAAATAAATAAAAGCACATTTTATTCTTTTAGATTGTAAACCCTCAAGGGCAGGGCCCTTCTTACCATCTTGTCTTGAATTGTAATGTCTTCCTTATATTGTAAACGTTGTGCAAACTGTTGGCGCTATATAAATCCTGAACAATAATAATAATTCTTTTGAACAACAAGATGGGTGCATTTTGTTTTTCTTGCGAAAGGTGCAATATGCATTTATCACATAGTGAAAACGTTTTTTTCTGGTTAGGATGTACCGGGTTGTGGCAGACAGCCAAAAAGCCCGGAGATTGAGGCTGGGTGTGATGTCAGCAGCCCCAGCAGACTCTGATGTCACTTAAGTGACCTCCCCAGCTGCAATATTTAAGGTTTTGTAGGGAGGGGAGGAGAAGCTGGGTAAGCACAGAGAGCAATCAGACATTCCCAGAAGAGAGCTTAACTTGCAAGAAGGGAGGCGATTGTTTCAGGGAATTCACTATTAATAACATAGTAGGTAAGGTTAAATAAAGACATGGGTCCATCCAGCTCAACCTGTCTGTGTAAAATATTTACCTATCCAACACTTTCCATTAAGTGAAAGAAGAAACTCATCAAGAAGTTTCTTGAATTAACGCTCTCAGCAGATACCACTGCCTGTGGAAGGTAATTCCAAACTTTACACACTAGAATTTAACCCCCTTTCTTCTAATCTAGTGTCCCTGTGTTATCAATACAATTTTCGGTATAAACAACTGGTTTCAAAAATGCGCAACATGCTTCTGCCGTGTGTTTTTGGGCATTTTAATCAAGACTATGGGGCAAAAAAGCGCTTTTACCTGCCCAAAGCAGCTCGTGTACCTTTTCCGGCTTTTTCCTGCTCAGGTGTGAACCAGGGCCATTAAAATCATGGGATTTCTTGTGTTGGACATTTAACAGTGCTTTTTAAACTGCTCAACAACTCCTGGGTGTGAACCAGGCCTTAAAGTTAGCCTTCTTAAAACTGAGTGTTCTTGTCGTACCGACATGCCTGCGTTTCCTTGAGTTTACAGTGAACGTTATTCTATGGTCACTGTTCCCTACGTCATCCCCCATCTGTAATTAGCTCTGTGTTTGGAATTAATAAACCCAACAGAACATCTTTCCTCGTTGGGGTTTCCACTAATAGTCCCATAAAATTATCTTGGCATGTTCAAGAAGTAAAGTCAAATTGTACATTCACATTTCAAAAAATTTTTATGAAAAAGAAAAAAAACCACGGCAAATAAATGTTTAAAATAGTTGATTTTTCTATGCTTTTACCTGCAATTAGATACAAAGGCTTCACTACTGACCCCTAAAAATGCTATATCTCCCCAACTGTAATGCCAATTTAATAGCTTTAAACTTCATGACCTAGAAAACATGTACAGTCAGTGAAGTCAAAAGTGGCTCACTCCCCTACCCTCCAAAGTGACAGTGCCGGTGCTTGGTCGGTTAGGTATCCAGCATTGTCACATAGGGCACAGAAGAGTCCCGGCTTCTTCTCACTTTGCAGCATGATTCTAACTTATTTCTATATCCCCTCTGACAAGATCCTGTGGAAGAAGCCAACATGCAACACAGCGTTGGAATTGGGATCTTAAACTGCATGCTAGGCCATGGGGGAAACATTGTTACTTTACATCTACAGCATAGATCATTTTTCTTCAATTGTTACAGCTGTAAAAAATAATGGCAAACCCAGTGTGGCAATTCAGATTCTTACCAGCATCATCTCACTGGCCTCACCAGTAAAAATCACAATCTGCTCATAAAGTTCACCCTTGGTTATTAGGTTATAGACTTCATGGCCTACTCAGAGCCACTGCATACTGTGCTTCATTCTGCCACTATTTTTCAGTGCATGTGCTAGCTAGGGTTGTGGCGAGCAATAACAGGTAATTCAGCAAAAGCACCAATACACTGATATTTTCAATAATAGCCCCGTCTTTACCCCAGCACATCCAGCGGGCTCTGTGCAGGAAATCTGGCTGGAATAGAGCCCAGTGGCTTCCAGTAGTACATGCATCCTAAAACCAGATAACTAATGAGGCATACAGCAATTTATTGGTATTTTTCTATGGAGACCAGAGGTGAGGAACTGGAGGAAGTCACATTAAAACGTGCACTAATTCTTCCGGCAACCTAAAACACAAATTAATGTATTGAAGACAGATTTGCCTTCCTTTATAAATACACAATGTATTTTGTCTGCAAAGGCAACAACTTCTGAAATGAATGTACCCACACTCAATACAGCAGGTAAACCACTAACAAAACAGCAGAAAACCCAACACAAACGCTCTTCTGCCATTTTGTCTTGAATGCTGGCTTTCACTGTTACCATAAACACTGGAAATCTGCATTTGCAGAGTGGTTTTCTTGAGTAAAATATTATGTGGACACAACATGGGCAAATTCCTTTTACACATATAAAACACACACATGTAGAATTATATGGAATGAGTGCTGCACACAGCCAGCAACCACAATGAAGTCATTTTACCAGTGCAAAAACAGATATAATGGTTATACACCAAGCAATCTTCCAGGTACCAAACTGTACTTACGCTGTTTCAATCCAATGATGGGATGCACTGGGAGCACATATACTGGCTTAGAAAAGGTCACAGATGCAAAGTCATGATCTCGTAAGACTAAATAGTTATGAATGATATACTGAAACGGTTTTTCGATTTCTACTTTTGTGTCGGATGCAGATTCCAGCAGAACTGTAATAAGATGTACCTATAATATATACAGTAGCAGTGAATGCTACTCTGGGACTGCTGATGTCCTTAGTTTTCCTATAGTCAGTGAATTATCTCTTAATGTACACTATTATATAGAATCCTATTTTTTTTTTTTATCACAAAGGGACTTAGTGTGTCATACACAATATTGCAAATATTTGCACCAATACCTAATAGGTCAGAGCTCCGTTTATGCAACTGCTTATTCCCAGTGTTTTGTGCATGGGGGAGGAATTTATTGACAAATCAAACCATACTACATGTGCATATTGTGGAGCTGTCAACTCAGGCAAAGTTGCAGCTACATACGCATTAAATGAAGGGCAGACAGGCATTTTAAACATCAGGGAATATTTTTCTCCTCCCGTGTGTCCAAAAAGAAAAACGGGGCTAATCACTTTTAACTTTGCTTATTATTTAAAGTAGAACTTTAGTTTTAGATGAGCGGTTCTAAACATGTGGGTCACGATCCCGTCAGGGGTCGAATGACGATTTGCCGGGTGTCGTCCGGTAGTCTCCCGCTATTAGATAGCGGCTCCCAGCTGCCCCGGAGAGAAACACTTTCTCTCGGAAAGGTAGAGCAGAGTAAACCTTTCCCTGCGATCGTTTTTTTTTTTCTGACATCGGGGTCCGCCGGAAGTCAGAAAAAAAACCCCCCACCATCGGAATGCATAGCTAGATTCCTATTGGGTATTTCACTTTGCAATAGCCAATAGCAAACTAGCTAATGCACCCGCCCTCTGCTGCTGCCAATCAGCAGAGGGGGACCTGAAGTTCTCCATCAGGTCCTCTTCTAGTGATTGACAGCAGCAGAGGACCTAGTAAAAATAGCCAATAGGAATCTAGCTATGCATTCCTATGGTGGTGTTTTTTCTTTTATTTATTTTTTTATTCTGACCGCGTACGCCAGTGGTTCTCAACCTGTGGGTCGCTGTGCGATTTCTGGTGTGCTAGGCGAGAGTCGTCCTCAGCCCCCTCCTAGGGTAGCAGTGTCAATTCTCCTGCCACGTCGCCAGATGTCGCTGCAGCAGCCGCGTCAACCCTAAATGTTACCTTTGGGGGTCACCACAACTTGACAAATGTTACCAAAGGGTCCCGGCCCTAGAGAGGTTGAGAACCACTGTTTTAGATAGCATGGGGAAGGGTTATGAATACTACCCATGTTTCTATTGGAGTAATTTCCTCTTCGGTCATGGCAACCACTGGGTTATGGGGAGAATGAGGAAAAAAAAAATCTTAGGAATTTTACATAACAGTGGTAGAAGAGACAACCCCAGCAACTACAATCCAAGGTGGATTTCTTCCTCACTTTGGGGAGAATAGCACTCACTTACTGAAGCATTTCTGGACCAGGACGTGGCTTTACTGTAAATGAAGTGTGTGCCTAGCCTGCAATACTTTCCTATGTATCCTACATTCTTTTCCAAATATTTACTGTCCTCTGGTGGGAATAGTTACATTACTGGACACTATTGCATTCCTTTTAGTGCGACTTGAAGCAAGCAGCATTGCCTATCAGACAAGTATGCTGATGAAATTTGTCTAGACAAAGCAGGGTTTCTAAATATTAGTCAAAATAAGCACACAGGCTGCAACAAGCATGTCATCTACCACTTTACGTTGGAGGGACCTTGTTGGCATGCAACTACCATTATTAGGGCTTTTAGGTTTTTACACTTTTAAACTAACCCAATGTCAGCACAAACTCAACTTTAGAAGGACAAATACTCAGAGACAGGACCCTAATAGATGTCAACCTTGCCTCAAGTAAGCCATGCCTTTACATTAAGATGCATCTACGTTCATTAAAAAAGGGAAAATAATTCAGAACCCAAGCACAGAGGATTCTGATGCAAAAGTCTGTTTTAAATTAAATTGAAAACCCCACAACATAACTTTTAAAATGCCCTTTGGTTAAGCTTTAGCAGCCATTTAATCGTTTTCTACAAATAAAATCAACTAAAATGCCATAGTGGATGAAAATCCTATGCACAAAATTACCTGAAATGTCGGAGCCAGAACCGGAACGTATGGAGTCTCCATCTGAGAATGAAGCAGAGTCAGATTCTGAGTCGCTGGCCTCACTACGGGTATCATAATCATTTCCTTCTCGTTGGTCTCTTTCATGTTCCTCACGTTCATACTCTTCCTCCTCTTCTTCACCTTCCTCCTCTTCAGCCTCCTCTCCTTCATCTTCCTCCTCTTCCATTCCATCTTCACTGTTTCCTTGGTCATCATCAGAAGACTCGCTGCTACCACTGTCTCTATCTGACCCATAGTCATCAGAGTTTCCATCAGAGGAGCGACTGGACCTGCTTGGTCGCCTGCTTGAATCCTGTCTTATTTTCTAATAGTAAAATAGAAAGGGAAATGCAAATGAATCTAAGATCCATTGTATTGTGTGTATTCTGTGTATATTACAACTTTTCACTTTTGAATTTCCCACCGGCTGTGACGCTCGAAAACGAAACTAAAAGTCAGATGCCGGCTTTTAGTTTTATTTTCGAGCCGCGTACAGCAGAGGACGCCGCAGGATCGCAGGGACAAGGTGAGTGTCACTTTTCTCTGCAACCCCGAGTCTGGCTCGGGGGTTACCGCTCCTAGCATTGAAAATTCACCCCGAGCCAGACTCGGGAATATCGCCAGGGAGGTTAAGGAGCACTGGTTACCTGGGATTCGTCCTGCCCCAAGATTAGATTAGATAGATAGAGCTAGCATCCATCCACTCCTGAGAGCACAACGCTCTGCCACAGATCACAAGTTTGGTATTTCTCTGCTGAAGTTCAGCAATAGTTCCGTAATACTTCCAGGTCTCCTCCTTACGCCCACCCTGTCACTGGACAGTAAAAGGAGAAGCAGCAGACAGGTGAGCTCATCATTGTCATGGGAGGAGGGAGCACTCCTCCCATCAGCATGCTCCATGCATGGCAGCACAACTAACTGGCTCTTTGTGCTAATTCTCACTCTCAGTGCTAGGGTACTACAAGAAACTAATTTCAAGCCAAACTCAGGAACTTACACTTCTTGCATTAAAGATGTATTAATAAAAACAGGGCTGCATTCACTTGCACATTTTATATCTGCTGGGAGTTTAGCCTTAAGGATCGAATCCCACAGAAAGAAACCTTTTCAGTTGATTCATGCGATTGGTTAATTCACGCACACAAGTAGAATATACACTTCAAAATGTTGGGTGCAAATATAAACTCTAGAATTACTGGTTACACTTGGAAATAACATGTATGCTGGAACAAGCAATGATTACAAAGTAGAAATGAGCATGAGTCACTTGTTACCTCAGATGACACATCAGGAGTGGCAGGTTGGGGTCTCCTGTCAGATTCTCTTTTCCTCGCAGCGATTTTTTCCGGTGGGCCTTTGTATCCTTCCCGTCCAGAGCTGCCAGAGGGATGAACTCTCCGGTCGCTTTCAGGCCTTCTGCTTCTGTCATGTCTAGAGAAGTCATCGTTCTTGTATTCCGATACCGGCTTTCCTTTGGTGCTGACAACTCTCTTTGTGCTACTAGACAGCCTTTGGGGGGGAGGCCTTGCTAGGTGGGAGGATGGTTTTTGCCTCTTGGTTTCAGGCATTTCCATTCGATCACTCTTTCTTTTGGACCCTACAACAACAACAACAACGAAATGTTCATTTTTGCTAATGGAGTTAAAAAGAAAAAAAAAAGACAGAGTCTCATGAAAACTTTGTTTTTCAGCAAAACTCACATATAAAACTTAAACAAATGCTGCTTCCATTGTTAAAGGAGAACTATGAGGTGAGTGCTTTTCACTCACCTCATAGTTCTAGCCGACCTGTGACAATGAGACTGTCACAGGTCGGCTCAGTAGATCGGGAGGTGAGCGAACACATACTATTTGTGCAATCTGAACCCCACGTAACATTGCTTAGACCAGATATTGTGGAACATGTCCCATTCCCAGTACTGGGATTTTCAGCAGTGCTCTGGAAGCCAACAGCATAGCATACAGAAGTAATAAGTATAAGCAAATAAAAATATAAAATCGAGTATATACCTTTCTTCTCATTAATATCCTGCTCACTTTCAGGGTTGTACAGCTCATCATCTTGATCTGGAGCCTCAGTTAAAATGTCATCCAAAACATTCACTTCACCATCTGTAAAAAATATAGAGAAGCATATTGGATAAAAAAAAGGCATATAGCATAAGCATTTAACTGATACTGTCAACATAGATCACAAAGCCCAAAATATACCTCGAGACATGCAATGATTCTTCTTCCCTACGCGAGAGCCTTCCAATTTCCCTGCTGATACAAGAGTGTTCTGAAATGCTACAGACGTATGTATACAATCATGCCAATACAAAAAAGGCTAGAAAAATGCATTAAAATTACAGCAAAGCCCTAAGGCCCCTTTCACACGGGCTGATCAGGAGAGGATCCGTGCACGGATGTGTCCGTTTACATCAGATTACAGCTGATCCGGCGAAACAGGACACTGTTCCGTTCATTTTACCTGACCCAGCTGGAGGTGGGGTTAACCAGGAGTAAACAGACACTTATCTGTTTACACGCGGCTGCCCATAGACTTGCATCGGGCACCCGATCGGGTCCACCTGAAAAACTGATAGGCGGGCCCGATTGGAGCGGCCGTGTCAAAGGGGCCTTAGAAAGAAAAAAAAAAACTCTACGTTCTATTGAGATTTGACTTCCCTTCTTATCCTAAAGACAAGAAATCCCTCCTAAATTAAGGGAATGTTCTCTCGGGACACTCATCGAAGTAGGTTGTCCCCACTGGAAGATTTTTTGGCCATCTCCTGTTTTTGTGGATTTCAGATTGTGCATGTAGCACTTGGTCTGCTTCAGATCCAGGCGGTGTTGTTGCTGAGCTAGCGTGGTCAATAGCGGTCACCCTCCCACACAGTGCTGTCCTACCACACTGCTCCAAAGGAGGCATACATAATTAGGTCTGATTGACAATGTTGGTCTCTGTCTCTGGCAGCAGGCACAGACTGGAGACCAACACTTTCATTCAGAACAGCAGAAGGAGGCGTCAGTTCAGATCACAGTACAAGTACTCCCAATAGCAAAGAATCAGTAAGCACTGAAAGGGCTGTGTAATCTATCTGCTGGCTGCTAGTAAACAAATCACAGGGTAATGAATTATTACCATAGCAGCTGGCAGATGATTTTAACTGCCTTGCCAGTGCTAAAAGGAGCAAGTGCTGTGGATTTTTACTAACAACTGGCCAGATCACAGAGATGTTTGATGGAGATCAGCTGCAAGCCTTCATATAGGGCAGTTTCACCACAGCTGGAGGGCCGGAGTTTGACCATCCCTGATATAGGGGCTCTACATCCCGCATCATCTTCTTATTCATGCTGGCTGCTGCAAATCCAGCTTCTGCCATTGGAGAGTCTGTGGAGCCATCAGAACACAAAGATTGCCGGAGATCAGCTGTGAGTGTTCCCTTTTATCCCCTGTTGCTAGCCCTGCTGCTTCCCCAGCTACTGGGCAATTTGAACACAAATTAAAAAAAAAGTTTTTTTTTTAAATTGTTATATGCCCTCCTCGGTCAACACAATCTACAGGAGTAGGGATGCACCGCTACTGGCATCGGTGCCGATACTGAGCATTTGGCCAAGTACTCGTACTCGGCCAAATGCTCCGATACTTACCCCCGATACTGGAACTGCCGGTCAGAGGGAGATTCCCACTGACCGGCAGGGACACAAGGGAGAATGGAGCCAGCTTCCCGGCCAATCAGAAAGACACATTGGCTGGGAAGGCGGCTTTCACGCTGCCTAGTGACACTGCGGGTCAGCCTGGCTTCCTGACCAATCAGTTCACAGTATCGGCAAGTACCGATCTCCCCATCATGTCCTTTACCGAAGTGTAAAGGACATGAGGGGGAGAAAGGCTCAAGGGACCGGTCTAGGAGGCAGAATTGTGTAGGAACGCCCATAAATTGGGCTTCAGGCTGGGGTGGAGCTACAGCCAACACAAACATAAAAACTGGTTTTTATTTTCCAACCACATAATAGATCGCCACCAAGGGCTACACCCACCTGGTTGCTTTAAAACAACCAGATGCACAAATTGTAGTACAAAGCCTACAATAATTTAAAGTATCTAAAGCTAAAAGTTAATTTTTTTTGTTTAGGTAGAGTTAGGTAATTGAAGGTTTAGAATCTGTCAGGTTTTGTGGTGTCCAGGTTGGGGAGATTCACCTTCTCGGGTTGTACCCATCGTTACCATGGCCAAAAGTAAAAAAGATACATTCTGCATTGTCTGTGGAGGTTCTCATTCATCCAGGTCTTAGTATATCTGTAAAAAAATAAATCAAGGCAACTGGACGTGCTGTATTTTTTTTTAATAACCAGCGAGACTTCAAGAAAAAAAGTATAGGTGGAAATCCTAATAGGTCTATCCCTTTCCTCCTAGCCAATTAAGGAACAATTTGTAGAACAAAAAAAAAAAAAGGAGGCAATTTTCTGTAGCATCACTAGCATGCTAGTGGTCGTCTAAACCCTGAACAATAATAACAAGGGGAGAACTTGAAGCAGCATGATAAGGTTATCCATGACAGCCATTTTGTAGCACGCTGCACAAACTGTTGGTGCTATATAAATCCTGTATTATAATAATAATAATAATTACAGCCAAGCTGTGGCTGTTCCAGTATCCTATGAAATAAAAATGTGAAAAAAAACTTTGGAATATTTTTACAGAGCTAGTAGGAGCTGAAACATTGTGCCAAAAGCTTTGAAGTACCATAAACAAGGCGGTGCTTCCAAACAGTACTAAATGCTGGCCACACACTGGTCCATTTTGTAGCAGTTTGGTGGATTTCAATTACTTTGAACCACAATTATTTCCTGGTCTCCAATTAAATATAACCGAAATAGAAACATACAGTAAGTGAAACTGAAACTAAAAACGTTTCTCAAAGAGATCTGGGTGCCAAAGAATGTTCTACATATGACATTTCTGGTCTCCTGTTCCCTCAATGTTGTTCCATCCTCCTGCCTCCATATCACTACTGTGCTCTTTAGAGAAGTATGGGCCAGCAGATGGAATGAAAGTGCAGGAAGGGACCAGGCAATCGACATTCCTAAAAGAGTGTGACGCAGATTGAGATCAATTTCTTTTATAGAGCGCGAAGATTGGCAGCATGGGGATGGGATGGTATGTTTATTAGTGTTACCATTTCGCCATATTCAAAATATTAAAAACAATCCTCCCTGCAAAGTGCTTATTCTTACTTATCCTTTTCCATGCCAGCAAATATATTTCTCTTTGCTAATCCCCCCTTTCTCAAATTTGACAACAAAAATGAAAAAACACTTCTGACAGACCTATTTAAATTAGGCAGGAACATTGTTTTAAATTGACAAACTGTAGGAGGGCTAAGAAAATCTTGAGAACTACAGCCAAACCTTTTTTTGGCATTAATTTTCTTTTGGATCACAAGAGGACGGGCTACTGTGCACTATTTGCTGACAGTGCAGAGCCGCATTGTAGTCGGGAAAGATCAACAATATTGTCGAGATCCACCCCTTCACCCGATTGACAGCAGGCTGCGTTTCCCTAGAGGCAAAGCCAGCTGTGCCCATCCCCTTCCCTGTCTGTCCCTCCAATGAGCTCTGGAGGAACAGAGAAGGGAGAGGAGAATCCTTGAAGGGAGCCGTCACCGACAGTCACCGCTCTCTGCAGGGAGAAGATCATGAACTGAGTGATCAGCGGTTTGTGATCACTCAGTTCTCGATCTATAGAGCCAACCTGTGACAGCTGCAGTGTTGCACATCGGCTCTAACTATGGGGATGTGCGCATTTCACTCTCCCTATAATTCTCCTTTTATCCACAAATGAACATACTGAAAGCCTAACACAAGTTACATGTTACATCAGCTAAATACCTTCCAGGTGCATCAAAACAAATGATGTAAAATGCCCCCGTTCACAACTTTGCATTGCATGAATGCGTGTCAAAGCTTGGGCTTTGACGCATGGTGACTTAACGAATTTAAAATGTGTGTCATGCTTGCAGTCAACGGCATCCCGTTGTCAATGGCATCCCAACCACGGGCAGAAAAACTTGTGTTTTGTCCTGCGCGTGGTTGCTTGTCAAACGCTGAAGACTCAGCTGAAAAAGTAAAAGTATGCAGAAACCAATTAAATGGATGGGCGGCATGCGGCAAAAGCTGCACACGATTGCACGTTCGGCGTCGTGTAGTGTTAATGGGGGACTTACAGTTGTCACCGCTTGTCCCCTGCCAGCATGCTGCAGACCAGGATCCTTGCAGTGGTCCTTCTACAGAGGTCTGAGAGACCCCTGCTTAGAGCTAGATGTCTCCATGCATCAAAGCTCATGCTCCCCACTGACTGGAGAGCTCTGACTCAGTAGCAGGTGTATCAGATCTCTGCAGAGGGACCACGGCCTCCACACAGCAAGCAAGGATGCTAGTCTGCAGAATGCTGGCAGGGGATAGACTCTTCTACTCAGGCTGTGGCTATTTTCTAAGGGCCAGTTCACATCGGATTTATTCAGGCTTTAAATAAGAACTTTTTTTGGAATGTTCGTTCTTCCAATAGTGTAAAATACAACAAAAAAAAAAAAAATCGAAGGAGCAGGATGGAAAATTTTAGCTGGGCAACAGGCTCCACTGCCCCTATGAAAAGTGATCCATGGTGGGTTGCTTTTCAGAAGGAAATCCTGCTGCCCCCTGAATGCCTTTTCTACCCTCCCCACCCTTTTTTTTCACCCCCCAATGGGGCTTTTCAATTGCAATACTCTGCCAGGACTTGCCATGGTCACTGCATGAATACAATCATCAGAAGCGGTTATATTAGATTTTGAGTGGGCGGTAAAAAGGCAGCATCTGAACAAGGCCTAACAGTGATTTGTTGATGTGGTTTTTATTCAGCAAACTCCATTCCTTCCAAAATCAAATGTAAAACCAAATGAAGTTCTGAAGGACGCTCGTCAAGTCTCTGATGGCATTATTGAATAGTGTTTCCTATGGACATTCATACAAAATTCAACCCATGTATACTCGGCTATGTTCATTTGTTTTCAGCTCATTTATAGTGTGCATTTTTTTAGGCAAATTATATCCGGTTACTATGTGGAGGGGATGGTTGGTAGGCACCAAATGCACATTCTTTCAGGGGTTCCCATTAAAGAAAAGGTGGTCCAAAATGGGACCCCAAGGAAGCTCCTGCACATCCCTGGGACCACAAGCGACAGCACACTGCTCAGATGTGAATGGGCCCCATAGGATAAAATGGAAATCTTGCGTCGAGCGTTGGCACGCTTTTGGAAAGGGCGAATCAAATCGCTCAGGTGTAAATAGGGGCTTATGCTGTAAAGAGAAATGCTGGTCCACTAGGCAGAGGATGCAGATAGCAGGTAAGTGTGATTGGCGATTACAAGTGAAGAAACATGTCATTACTATAGCTCGCCCTATAGCACAGGCAGTGGTCGGGCCTGGCCCCCCTTTGATCACACACAAAGGCCTGTCTTAGGATGGGAGCACCATTCATTCAGCTCCGGTCCACACGTGTCATGTCCGCTGCTCACCTTTACTTTGCTCTCCTCTCTCGGCCTCCATCCTTCTTCCCCTGTTCCGCCGCCTGCGCCGATGCCCCCTGTTGTCCTGGCCGCTGGCGGATGTCACAGTGTCCCCCCCGCCCCGCCGGGCGCCCCGCTCTCCTGCCGTGGCGAAGCTGAATCCCAAGGGGGGCGACCAGTCCCGAGACCAGAGAGAGGGAGGCGGAGCTCACCTACCCCGTCCACCGTTCCCGGACACTGCCAGCCTGCTCTCCGGCCCTCACAACAACAAGCCGCCACCGTTCTCTTTCTTCCCCTCACCCTATTCTACGCACAAAATGGCGGAGCTCTGCTTCACCCTTCTGCGACAACAACACCCCGCTCCCGGCATGCAATCCTGCCATACGTACTCGGTGACGCCGTCAGGCCCCGCCCCCCGCGTGTGGGTATAATGCAGTGTAGTGTAGTGCTGTGTTCACCATTGCGCGCTTCTATTGAGAAGTTAGATAGCTGAACTCCACAAATAAAGTAAATATAAAGGTGCTGTAATACCTGCAAAATAAGTTCATTGTTAGCACATGAGCACTGCAGAACAACTTACTGCCTGCTTGTGCTGGTTCTTCCTCCCCTAGTCTGCTGCTGTACAAGGATTGCAGGGTACAAGGTTGATATCACGTCACGTTCAGATACCTGCATTACATACATTTATATAATACATTTTATGTATTTGTAAATACATTTCAGAATTCATTTTTGTTTTGTATCACAAAATCCTTCGTGAATGGGTTGATACGACCCTTTAAGGGGAATAATACATCCTAAATGAAGGTGTCCTATAACAGAAGAACTCAATCTCACCTCTCTAGTGGCCAGTGTTTTGTACCTTCCCTCTGTGCCATCACTGCAGTCTCTACATTAGAGGCTGCGGTAGAGTTCAGACTCTACTTTAGACACTTTTGGATACCCATGTACACTTCCATGCATTCTTCTGGTTCCTTCCTCCAACCTATTCGTCACTACAGAACTCAGCAATAATGTAGGGGTCAGAGGAAGAAATTACGCTGTGTTGCAGGGAGGCACGAATCTTACACTCCCCGAAAAGCGAAAATGCTAAAAAAACAGATGGAGGTTACAGAGCTGGAATGGAAGGAAGACAGCAGAAGTGAGCATAAGAACTCTTCTCATTGAGGGCGCACTCTTTTAGGATTTTCTGCTACCCACCCTGGCAGGGTTGTTTTAACCTAGGCAGCATGTTTTTTTTGGCTTCTTAAGTGGTTTGTAACCTATTAATATACTATTAATATATTATTATATAGGGATGCACCGATACTAAGTACAGTACTCGGTACAAGTACATATACTTATCGAGCTCCAAGACTAGACTAGAGAAAAAGTTAGGAGGCAGCTGTCATTTGTAAGGAGCACACGGAGCTCCCGGGATTTGTACATCTCTGTTTTAATGTATGATTTTGCTTTTATAAATATAAATAAAGGGATGCACCGATACCAGTTTTGCGAGTACAAGTGCTGATACTTGCCCAAGTACTTACAAGTACGAGTACTGATACATTTTTGTTTATTCTCATGTGACAATTTTTCTAAAACAATATCGACTAATAATTTCAGGACGGTGGTGGAGCACCAGAGCTAGGTCCCAGCTGCAACCCCGGTAGTTCTCATGAAAATGCCAAGTATCGGCACTGGCACTCGTAAAGTATCAGTGCATCCCTATTATTATATATATATTATATAAATAATATATGACTGTCCAAAATATAAAATATTTTCAGGTCTGCTTGAATTAATTGTAGGGGAAGGTGGACAGAGAGAAGAGAGAATGGTAAGTAATTGTGGAAATGGAAGGTAGAGCAGAAACTGATGGTGGTCCAGGAAAGAAATAGAGGGGAGACAAAGCATGTGCTGATCAAGGACTGGAGGAGTGAGGAGGCTAACTGTGTACCATTGGAATAATACTAACAGGGTTATTCACAAAAGGGTGAAGAGTTTGGAGAAGGCAGGAGAAGTGAACAATCTAGGATAACATAGCTGAATGGCCTAGATTGTTCACTTCTCCAAACTCTTCACCCTTTTGTAAATAACCCTGTAAGTGTGGGAGCTGTGGTAGTTAGATGGTAGAGGAGATGATTACAGGAAATGGGGAAGAGTGGGAGCTAATTATTGCTAAGCAATGGATAAGAGAGCTAGAAGCAGTAGCTGATCTTGTAGAACTTGTAGAACAGGACAAAGAGGAGGCAGCTCTGCAGCTGCTTAAAATCTAGGGATAGCGGAGGCAGAGTAAGAGGTCATAATGACAGGACGGGACAATGTTTAGCAGAAGGAAATGGGGCTTACCATTTAGCAAAAAATAAAGCAAGGTCACTGTACCATTTTCATGGAAATGTGCTCCACTGGCACGGAGACAGGAGGATCTGCACTGTTCCCATGTCATGATCATTGCAATGGAGTGATATGGCCCGTTGCCATGATGATGGAGAAATAGAGGAGGCAGAGTGGAAACTAAGCATAGCAGGAAGGGGTGGGGCTTAACAACTGGCACCAAGGGGCCTTGTTGCCATGGCAGTAGAGGAAGCAGTGGTGTTGCCATGTTGGCAAAGGTAGCTATGATGTCGCCATGTCAATGCAGGGATTAGTCATGGAGCCATTGCCATTATGATAGAAGAGTCTGTCCCATTGCCATTGTATAGGATGGAATTGCACTGTGGTCATGGCAATAGAGGCATTAGCCTTGGCAAAGTTGTCATGGCTGTGCGGGAGCCTGCCCTGTTACCTTTATGATGGATGGATTGGAGATGCTGCTTTCATGACAGAGGGAATGAGGGAACTGTGTAATTGCCATTGAGATGGAGGATTTGGCCCCGTTACTATGGCAACAACAGAATCAGTGCTGCTGATATAGTGATCGAGGGATCAGTCATAGTACTGTTGCCATGACAATGGAGAGGTCTGCCAATTTTTTTGTAACAAAGGCATCTGCACAGTTGCTTTCATTATGGATAGATCAGTGTCATTGCCATAGTGAAAGAGATTGGCCTCACTTCCATTGACACGGTGGAACTGCTCTGTTAGCAACATAGATAACATAATGCTGCTTCAATGACAGCTCAGGTGTCTGCCCCATTGTCATATCATTGGAGGGATCAGCCATTATGCCATGGTGGTGAATGGTGTGCCACCATTGCTGTGGCAAATGAGGGACTGGCCCTCTTATTAATGGTCACATCACCATGAGAATGGAGATATCGATCCTCTTTTCATGACAATTAAAAGATCTGTCGTATTGCTGTTGCCATTATGATGGAGGCATCCACCCAATTGCCTTGGTTAATAAAGGAATCCAGCATGTTGCCATGGTAATGGAAGGATCTTTCACCTTTACCTTGGTGATGGATTCATGCAGCCAAGCAACAGAGATGCCATGGTAAAAGATCTATCACTATACTATCCCCATGACATTGGTGACAAAAGAATTCTAATGGTAAGGCATCAAGCATATTGCTGTGGCATCCCATTGGTTTGCCATGAGAATATCAGGCCCTGCTCCTTTTCCATGCTGGCAGAGATGCACCATTGCCATGGCAACAGAGATCTCAAACCCAGTTGAGGAATCCATCTTTTTTTCTTTGTGTCGTATATGTATTATTGCCATGGTGACAGATGAATACAGCCAGTTATGATAAAAGAGGGGTATGAAGGACGAATTATCTGCCAATGTGTCATTGCAATGGCAATAGATGTACTTGCATGCATTTTTATGGTGACGAATATGTGTCATTGCCATGGCGAAGAAGGAATACACCTCACTGCCATTATAACAGAGGGATCCTCCCTGTTGCCATGGTGATGGAGGGATCTGCACCAGTTGCTATGGATCTGTAATGTAATACAGTTGCCATGTTTACAAAGGTATCCACACTGTTCTTATGGTAATATAGGGATCCTTTTATTTGGTGACAGCCCTCAGGGGCAGGGCCCTCCTTACCATCTTGTCTTGATTTTTATTGTGATTGCAATGTCTTCCCTATATTGTAAAGCGCTGTGCAAACTGTTGGCGCTATATAAATCCTGTATAATAATAATATGCGCCATTGCCATGATGATGGAGATATCGACCCCTTGCCATGGGGATGATATGATCTGCCACAACACTGATTCCATAGCAAACAGGGAATCCACCATATGATGACAGAGGGTTCTAACAATTGACATGGCAGTGGAGGAAGCTTGCTGTTGCCATTATATCATAGACACCCACTTGCATTGCAATAAAAACTGTCATAGTATTGTTGCCATAACAGTGGGATACACCCCATAGCTATAGCAATACACATGATGGCAGATGGATATGCCCCATTGCTCTGGAGATGGAGAGATCTTCACTTTTAAAATGGCGACTGAGAAATCTGCCATCATGACATGATAACAGATATGTAGATGGCATTGGCTCAGCACTAGTACTTCCGATCTCTAACTTTGTGTTCGTTTGTCCATTTTGATCAACTCGAGACTAGTACTTTCAATGTTCGTTTCTATCAGCCATTTGTAAGTACGTTTTCAGCTGTATTTTACCCTTTATTAAATCAATTTTACACTATGGAGGCACTCCTTTTGCTTTGTTTCTAATGGCTATAAGACAATTTGTTCCAGCATGACTGTGCCCCTTTGCACAAATCTAGGTCCATAAAAACATGGTTTGATGAGTCTGGTGTGGAGGAACCCATTTGACCTGCAAAATGCCCTGAACTTAACTCAACTTGAACACATCTGGGATAAAATGAAATGTCGATTGTGAGGCTAGACCTGACCTCACAAATGCTCTTTTGGCTGAATAGGCACAGTTTCCACAGACATACTCCAAAATCTTCTTCAAAACCTTCCCAGATGAGTTGAGGCTGTTTAATGACAAATGGGTAGGTGTGAGGTTCTCTATATTGATGTACATGGTTATGAAATGTAATGTCCAACAAGCTCATATAGGTGTGATGGTCTAGTGTCCACAAACATGTGGCCGTGCAGTGACTTGCTTCTAAAAAGTGCAAGCTCCAGGGATGGCATCCTGGTCCTGGCTTCACTATCTAGCAAAACAAGTAAGTAGGGGATGAGAATTTTCAGACTTTAGGTCAGTGTCTTGCAAGATACTGTAGTCAGGATTGGCATGACAGCAATGGAACATACTCATTTTTTAAGCTAGTCAGCAAAAGGTCACAGTTAGCCCTCGTTCACACCTGAACGTTTTGTAGCGCGTTCTACGCTCGACGAACGCTCTGCAAAACACTCAAAAATATAAATCCCATTGTATTCAATGGTCTCGTTCCCACCTTGGCGTATTTCCGCCCGTCCCTAACGCGCTACAAAACGGCCCACGCCTGAAAAGGTACATGTACTACTTTGGGCCG